GTAAGTGAAGGTGAGGTTCAAAATGGGACCAAACCTCTGTTGGTAAAAATACATCATAATATCCAAACCTCCATACCCTAAGATACAAGCAGGAACAAAATGGGAAATAGGTCCTGCGTAGACGACTCTCAGTGTAGTGGAAAGCTATGATAGTGTATATGGGAAGCCGCTTGTGAAAGAATTTGCAGACAGAAACTTTCCATTTAGAACTTTGATTCCTCTGTAACCTTATAAAATAGAATCATTGAGTATCATTAGACTCTGGGAAATAAAATAAGATACAGACAATCTTTATAAATAGTTGGGGTTTTATATTAAATTGTGATGCTAGCTTACCTTCTTTTTTCCGCATTACTTACCACGTTGATTTTTAAAAAGAGGACCTGGAACAACAACAACAACAAAAAATACCCATCTCAGGAAATCTTGGTTTTAGAAATCCATTAACAGTAAGGATGTAGAAACCAAGCAATGGCATCACACTAAGCAGGAAAAGCTTCAGGTGTCATAAATTTTCAAGCCATCTGTACACTAAGTACACTGATGAGTGAATCATACATTTTCGATGAATGGAAAGCATATAAGTTCCTACTCTTTGTAGCTGGTGGGAAAACCTTGAGTGCTCCGTGGCACAGGTGGAAAGCTCTCCAAAATTTTTCCACAACTTGGAGGGAAAATAAAAATAGACCTTTTTAAAATATAAAATGAATAAGTGGAGGAGAGAGACTTAGTTTAAAATAAAAGATGCTTATTTTTATTATTGACTTCTTTTCTTTTTCTGAGTCAACTCATTTAACGTACTGGTGTAGTAACATTCAAATCCCAAGTGTGCGAGGATTTTTTTTTTTAATGTTTTGAATAGAAACACAATGTTGTCTTTACATTTGATTTTAGCTATCCGAGCAGTTCTACCAAAGCACTGTGTGTTTATATATATAGGTTTTGTATTCCATCTGCTTCCAAAACAGATTTACAGTTGACTAGTTTGACATCTGAAGATTAGATTATATCAGATTAAATAAAAGAAACGTGCCTTGTTAATGGGTTTATATATTCCTGAATCAAACACATAGTAACTATAGCATTTACAATAATAACAATAATGCTCAGATTGTGGCAGCTGTAATGGTTTCATTATTTCTTTCCTGTAGCTGTAACCTTTTAGTGTTTGCCATAGAGCACACTGTACTATAGATACAATTTAATCAATTGCTGGGCAATGTAGCATTATTAATGTGATCTCAAGAGATGCTCAAGTGAAGATAGGGCCTGAGTATTTTATACCAGAGGCTGCTGTGACTTTTGGGGCTCATTGAAGACTGGGCTGCCCTAGCTAGTGACCTCATAATTTCCAGAAGCAGGTGGAGGTGGCAATTATGGCTTCGGCCACTATCTTGAACTTTCTGTAGTAGGTGATGAATTGCAAATGGCTAGACCCTGTACACAACAATAAACTCAAATAAATCTTCAATGTGTAATAATGACAAGACGGGAAGCCTGGCAGCTATAACAAGGCTTCTCTTGTCACCCACTTTACTGTAGCCTTGATATTCATCATTATCAGCTGGAGCTAGCTCAAGAGCTGGACAAGAAGGTCCGAAGAAGGATGAGTTGTTTGCGCTGAAGCGTCCAGTTGGTCCCATCTGGACGAGAGTAAATGGGATTTTTTTTGCCTGTTCACTAGGCCAGAGCTGTCCATCATTTTAGGCAGGTATCTGATCACTTCATGCTGTGGGACAATATGGTTTTACACTGCTTGGCTCTCTCTTGGTAGTGCAATGTAACATTTTTACCCTGTATGAAAGCTTTTGGTTACTTTTCAGTTACATAAAAATGCCGTTCGATTTCACAAAAACTGAGCTAATGATATTTTCCATCATTGACAAATGACTTCTCAAATGAGAACATAATTTTAATACAACCCGAATCACAGTTGAAATCTGTGTCCTGAATCATATGAAGTTATTATGTTCAATAATAACATATATTTTCTTCAGCATAAGAGAGCTTTTTACTATTAATTTTCAAAACAGTGATGTGGACAATATAAACATTATCGGGACTTTAAAATTATTGTAAAATGTTACTTAATATTCCTAAATTCTTTACTGTTGTTGATACATATAGTATACATATTCTTAGTAGAAGAATGTGCTGTGGCATTTCTGTCAAGATCAAGTATTCTGACGACTGAATACTATTCGATTTAAAATAAAACATATTCACTGATCCTTCAACATTTTAAGTCTGTGATAAGATCAATCAATACAATATTCTTCTTGGATTGATTGTTCTCCCTCTTAGAAGAATATCAAGTTTTTAAAAACCTAGTTTGTTGAACTTTCACTCATGAAGACTATATAATTACATGTTTTGTATGTTGTCTGTATTACGGTTATGATCTTAAAATTAAAATTTGCAAATTTAGTAACTGATAGGTGATCGATTTCCCTATTAACCACAGCCATCTTTAATAAAGATTCTAAGCATCCTCCTAGTGTGTTTTTATTACCTTTTTTTCCTGTTTATTTCCACCTTTTAAGGGAGAAGATCATATAATTGTTTCTTAACATTTTAGATTTGATGTTGCTCTTTAAGAAAAAGGAACTCAGTAATAAACAGTGGAACCCTTTGAGCATTTTTGCTTTTGATTTATGATATATATTCCCGTTATCACTTAAATATATATTTTTAGATAAACCAGTAATTATATAATTCGAATTCACTTTAATTCCTGAGATGATTAAAACGTAAGACTTCTGAGGTTTCCATTTCTCCAAAATGCAGGTTCACTCTGAGTTCAGACCCAGTGACATGCCATCATTCATTTTTTGTCTTTACTTCATAATAAATCTTTAAGCCTTGAGGCACCAGACTCATGCAGATTTCTTTGCATTTTAGTTTCTTGATGGAATAACAACTTCCAGTTTCAAAGCTAAAGCATATTATTTCATCTCTGCAGACCGAGCTTCACCCAGTAGTGGCCACATGAAAATATATGTCAAGAACACTGTTTTCTCATATTGGAATTTAGGCAATTTGTTTTCAGACTGTGGGCAGTTTCAGCCTATTTTTGGAACCCCTTTGTGGCCTGACCATTCATTCTCACATAATTTATGGTGGCACTGTAACATACGGACTTTTCATCACTGTCCAGCTGAAATTCTCTGTTGTGCATAGACAATTCTCCCTTGCCTTAGACTCTTCTCCCTTGCCTTGCTTTGGCTCCTTTCAATGCCTTTCCTGCCTCTGGAACAGGTAAACCAGCCTGGACTTTGTATTCCACCATGTACAGCTTTGACTAGATAAGTCACTACATTAAATGATACGCATACACTTTAAACAGTATACATATGGCTACAGATGTGTCCTATGACCCTGTGTAAGAATCTAAGGAATAGCAATTTATTGAAGTGTCTTCTAAGTATGTAAAGGTTGAACTTGAGTTCAGGTTACTTCTGTAATTAAAAAAAAAGAAAGAAAGAAAGAAAGTACATGTAGTTTTATTCATACACATCAGGTTTGGCTCTTGGTGTGCCCATCAGTATTTTCTCCAAGTACTTCACATCTAGACGTAGGACTTGTAGTTATGTTAGAATAAGATACGACTGAAGAATTTATCTTAATTTCTTTATATTGCTCTTGGCAGCTAGTGTTGAGAAATATTATCAATGGGATCTAAGACATGATAACTGAAAACTAAATAAGTTAAAAAATGGATGATATTAAATGATTGTAGTTATTCTGTTACCTTCAAGCATGCTATTTTATTTACTAGCCACTTGACCATCTGTAAGTTGCATAATTCCTCTAACTAAATTTTGTATTTCCCCTTGTAAAGTAGGTTATTAATAGTATTTCTCTCATAGCATTTCACTGTTCAACATGATTTCTGCACAACGCTGTCAATAAAAAATTACACATTATTGTTCAAAACAACACAGAATTACATTTGAGTTCCTGTTTCTCAGATTATTGTTCAGAGAGCTAAACTAGTTGGCAAAGGGAACTGTTTGGCACTGTTTCAAAATTAAAATAGAAAGGGATAGCAGTCTCGATTCTTTGAATGCATTAACCTAGAGGGGTAGTACTCCAACTTCTCTGTGCATCAGAATCACCTGGAAGGCTTGTTAAACTAAAAGTTGCTGGGCTCCACCCCCAGAGTTTGTCAGTCAGTGGATCAGGGTTAGGGCCTGAGAATTTGCATTTCTAGCAAGCTCCCAAGTGATGCTAATGCTTCCAGGAACACTGATCCAGAGAGAGACTCTTTCCTTAAATGATGATGAGAGCAAAATGAACTAATGGATAAGCCCTGCATTTGCTATTTGGCGACACTGGCACCAAGTTGAATGCCCACGTCAGGCTGTAAAGAGCGAACTTTGTTTATATGTACTCCTGGCTGGCCCAGGCTTTTCTCGGTTTCATTAATGACTTAATGAAAAAGTTCTTGTTTTATTTTCTTAAGAAGTTGGGGGTTCTAGAATGATTTTGATTAAAATAAAATATTATTTAAAGTTAAGAATCTTTTCAGATTCATAACATGTAAGTTTGTGAAAACGTATCTGTCCATGTAAGCAAAAATTCTCCATAACATCTCTGATTGTATGCTCTGTAATTACATTTACTAATCATGTAATTGCATATCTTAATTATCACATGTCTTACTTGCCTTTCTACATGTATTTAAATAATTATCTTAATATAATATATAATTACAAAAATAACAGTTCAGTATCAGAGACATTTTATTGCTCCCACTGTAATATTTGTTCAGTAAGATTATATAAAACAGACACTTTGTCCAATAGAAGTAAAAAATGACTTTAAAATCACATTTTAAAAATAACATTATTTCCAGGACAAAGTAAGCCACTTTATTTTTTTAAGTAAATTTTATTTTCTGAGTTTCCATTTCTGCAGCAAGTTATTAAACACTTTATCAGTATATTTTATTTATTTGTTTTTTTGTTTGTTTGTTGGTTGGTTTAAAGTAAGCTCTACACCCAACATGGGGCTTGAACCCATGATCCCAAGATCAAGAGTCGCATGCTCTACCAACTGAGCCAGCCAGGTGCCCCTCAGCAGATTTTTATTAGGTCATTGTTTAAACCAAGAAGGTAACAAAAAAGTGTGACTTTTCCTTGTGGACAAGTATCCTTCACTAAAAAGAATTCCAGTGAATGACGATGACATAATCAGTTGTACTGAACACTCTCAAATATTTTTTCACATGATTATGGTTGGTTTCCCTTCTTGAGAATGACAACTGAGGGCAGCAACTGTCTACTTTGATCACTACTGTGTCCCTAGGGTCAAATCACTGCCCAATCCTGAGCCGGTATCCATAAGTACTTGGTGAATAAATGAATAATAGGAATTATTATTGGTGTTAGTGTTGCTGCTTTTACCTTTTATTGAGCATCTAGCATATGGTAGGTCTTTTGCTGATTATTTGCATATGTCTTCAGTTCTCATCACACCCTGCAGAGATTGATCTTATTGATCACTGAGGAGCCTGAGGCTAAGAGAAATTGGAAACCTGTCCCATGTCACAGATAACAAATGGTGGACCCTTCTCTTTCTGCTCTAGAACCTAGACTCTTGCCACCAAACAGTGCTTCCTCAAAGGCTTATATTCTGGGGGTAGAATAGAAACGTCTGTAGTATTCAGGGAGAGACAAATAGAACACTTATGAAACTGGCATTTAGGAAGATAGGAAACAAACTGGGAAATAGACAGTTACTGTTTACACAGTTCTCCCATTAAAGAACTAATCAGAAGGCAATGAGGTTTGATTTTGTTTGCACATAAGTTAAAGCAATTGCATCCAACTGAAGCATGATTGGTACACCCACATAACCTGTGAACCTAGATGAAGTGAAAGTTTTCATTCATTAAACTGTTCCCTTTTTCTAACTCCCATGCGTTTGCACAGGGCAAGTTCTTAAATTCACTTGCTGATTAAGAAATTCTCCTACATTTTGTGTATATTCCTTACCTTAATGATTTATCTCAATTGACTCTTGGTTTATCTCATACATAGAACTGAGTAGATGTATCTTGCCAAGGAATATGAGTGACCAGTACATGCTTGCAAATAAAATGAATAAACAAATTAGTGAATGAATGACAAGAGGCCATAAGCATTATATTTCTCTCCAAACGGTCATGTATGAGCTGTAATTCAGATGGACTAAAACCATTCATTTATTCCATAAGGTCAAAGATGGAAAAGGAAGATATCAAATCAAATAAACTTTTCTCATGGGATACTAATCTTTCTGTACACAGTAGCAGGAATATCTTAAATGCTTCTGGAGCATTTTCATCCCAAAGCAACATTTACCATCTTTATTTCCCAAATGTTAGATATGACTGACAGTCATATGAAATACATATTCTAATACTGAGGCAAGATACATGGAAGGAAAAATCTACACCCTGGAGGGAAGTATAAATTTATAATTATATTGAAGAAAATTATAAAATATTTATCTGAGTCATCAGTTATCATTTGGTCATTAACTGAGATTAATTAAAACATATCACACACGGTGCCTAGCTCATAGTAGGTGTTCAGTAAATGATGCTGTAATTGAACTGAGAGACTGGCCTTCCATCAGAGCTATATAAATAGACCTGGAGGGACTAAGCCAAAATTTCAATATTTTTGAAAAGAAGGTGTTTAGATACAAAGCTTGTATAGAAGGAGAAAAAGAACAAGCAATTATATGCAAAAGCAAATGCTTATTTGAGCCTAGCAGTTAAACCTCCTCACATGTTAATCACTCTTGGAGTGATTTTTTTTTTATTTGTTTTTAAAGAAAATGGAACATTATCACCAAGCTGAACTCTCCCAGTCTAGGCAAAAAGAAAAAAGAAAAATTCCATAAAAAATGTATTAAATGAGTAAGTTCTTGAATCCATTTTATGAAGCCTGTAAATATTCAAAGTATTCTTTTTACAATTGGTATTTTTTATTTTGCATAGATAAGCAGGTGTCTCTTAGTATTTGCAATGTGTGCAATCATTCACTATTCTTTGTGATGTAAAAACTCACCTGTAGGAGAATCTTTATTTCACGAGTAAGAGCAGAAGATTTGGCATATATTCAGACCTACCATTCATTCCACCCATTTGTCCAGCTCTTCAACCAGAGAAAATTATTGAAATGGCATTGTTGGCTCTTATCCTATCCATGTGCTCAGCAAATATAGATTGCAGTCTAGCTATGTGGGAAATAATTTTATATTTGGTGCTTCACAGTTTATAATACCTTTTATATACTTTGTCCACTTCATCTATAGGTCAGAATGCCTCAAAATCCCAGTTTGGTCTTGTGATTCTCTGGCCGGTTTTTGTAACTCACTGTGCTTGGTGCCATGGACAACACAGAGAAAAGCTAGTGCATAGTGTGCTGCCACAAAGCCTATAACCAAGAGTGAGGTCTTTAGACAACTGGCTATTAAATCAAATTACTGTTTGTTAAGTGCTTAGACATTCAATGAGGACAGATCATTTCTGGGAAAACTCTGGCTTTCGTAGGAAAGCTCTTGTCCTTGGTTTTCGCTTTCTGCAGCAAGAGCATAGTAACGATGCCTCTGTATGCCCCCAGACTGTGGGTGCGGCCAGGTGCCCTCTGTGACCAAGAGTGCAGGGCCACGACCTCCCCCTCAGCTCTCAGCAGCCAGTCCTCTTCCCAAAGCCCCCCCCAGGCCCCTGGCACTCTGTCCGTGGGTGGAAGCCGCTGTGAGGAAACAAAGCTTCACTGTGGCGCCCCACAAACATTTATCAATTGGAGGGTCACCCCGAATCCGGGGCTGCGAGGCCACCTCCGCCAGATTTAAGGTTTTTAGTCACCTGTGAGAAGGCAGAGGTGGCATGAGTTGGCAGTTCTTTCAGGAACTTGGGCTTTGAAGGGAGAGAAGGAAAGGGGAAGTTGCACTGTTCAGAGTTTCGGTCGTTTTTAATAAGGAGAGACCTGGGGTCTGTCTAAATGCTGATTGGGAAGGCTCCCATCGAATGGGAGAGGTTGAGAAAACCCAAAGGAGATGGGCTGAGAGACCATGAGGTTCCTAATTCAGTGGAAGATGACAGGAGCCAGAGCATAGATGGAGAGATTAACATAGATGGGGGCGGGGGGGACACGGACATTTCTTCCATTTTATTAGGAGGATCACAGGGGGTGGGGGTAGGTTAAAGTTAAGTATTAACATTTCAGAGCAAGAAGTGAGAACGCGTTTGGATTTCTATTTTATTTGTCAAATAGTAGCCAAATTTGTTTGCTAAGATGGGGTATGGGGTAAAGGAAATGGTCAAATGTTTTGAGGAAACTTGAGAATGTTTTAAGTGCCTTATGTGAAGAATGGAAGAGAGCTAATTCAAGAGACTTGGGATTGCCCACCCGCGTGTACGTTTATAGAGTTCCACTCATCCCAGTCATGTGGCTTTTCTCCAAGAGCTGTTAACAGCCTGGGTACGGGAGGGCAGATAATGTACAGAGGTGTGGCAAAGCCTTGGTTTGCTCATGACTAGGGCTTCATTAGGCTGGTGTTTGGAAAGGTGAGTTGACAAAGGGAATTGAACTTTCTTTCAAAAGAATGGGACAGGTTAGAATTTTCGTCAGAGTGAGATGTTATGTAACTTCAGACACAATTGCATTTTCATTATATGAGGCACGCCTAGAGCCCATGAAAGCCTAGTCATGGAAGCAGTCAGGGTGCTCTTAGCCCTTCTGTTTTTTTCTAGGCAAAAGAGTTTGGTTTGCAATTTCCTATCTCAGTCCAGATGTCGAATATAAGAATACCCAGAGTTCAGTTTTTCAGAACTTTATAAAGAGAGCAACTCAAATATACCTATAGATACACAATGTAAGTAAGATACAGTAACATCCTAAGTATGAACTTCCAGCCCATTTATGTTACAGAACCAATACAGTCTTAGCCATCTGAAGCTAAGAGAATCATCCCTGATCTGGTTTCTTTTCTTTAATTATAATTGTAGCTCTTCTTGACTTCTTTGTCTTGTTCTTTTCTCATGAAACTGGACCGGACTGGCCATTTCCTCATTTCAGTTTATTTAATACTCTTTCATATAACGTTGGGATGTCTGTTTACCATGTCTCACTTTTAGGCTTTGCTATTAGAGCTCACGGTATGGCAAGTACTGGAGAAATCACTTGATGAATACCAATTCAGTTATCCTCACACTATCCCTGTAACTCAAGTTAAAGGATAATTTCCATCACAGGTGGGAAAACTGAGGCATAGAAAGGCTTAAAAACTTTGACATGATCATACTTTTCAGTGATGTGGCCTCTGAGACAAATTGAAAACTGACTCCAGAGCCGACACCAATAGCTAACCACTCTGTACTGAATTTTGATCAGTTGTTTTCCCCGACCAGCTACTTCTTAGTTCGTAAGGTGTCTCCCTCTCCTTCACGATACTGTGCAGATAGGAAATAAGGTTAAATGAGCTGATGGATGTAAAGCAGAACAGTGCATGACTCACGGCAGGTACTCCACGATCTTGGTTCCCCCTTCCCATCCCCAGATGCCATCTGTACCTTTTTAAGCTCGGGAACGGTGTCACACTGTTAGTGAGCTGTGGACCACTACTGTTCCTCACTCCACTCTTCTGCCCTGGTCTGTCATTGAGAAAGTACATGAAAAACTTGCAGGTTAACGAAACGTGGAAAAGCTCGCCGAAGCAAAGAACATGTTGGCAACTCTGGGGGAGAACGCTAAACCATAGGCATTATTAGAATTGCCAATTTAGGACATTAATATTAATCCTTAAGACTTTTCTGGTTACAAGAAACGGAAACCCAGCTCAGCCTGCCTTATGCAACTTAAAGGAAGATATTTATTGCTCAGAGAACTATAGAGCTGGACCACAAACACAGGCAATGGGACTAAATCTTGCTCCTTTTATCTCTTGGCTCTCCTTTCCCTTGGGTTAACTTTGTTTTCAGGCAGGCTTTCCAGCTTATGGAAGCAAAATGGCTGTGAGCACTTGAAGCTTATAGCTTATCTCTATAATCCCCCCGTCCCAGCTCCCCCACCCCCCAA